TAATGTTATTTTTTCGTTTATTTTTTCGTTTATTTTTAGAGTTAAACTGATTTTTAAACTTTATTCAAAGATTAAATTCAGTAATGTGAGAATTAAACATAGGTCTACAATTGCTTTGTTATGCATTTCTGTTGGCTGTATGGGATACTGTATGCCCTTGTTTTTCTTGTGTTTTTTTACAATGCAGATGTTATAATGTTGAGGAAGACACATTAGCATTTTCAAAAGTGGATTCGTTTCTTCCTGACAAAGTTTATTACCATGGTTGCCTCAAAACATTCTTGCAAATCACAAAGTGGAAAGGTCCAGAGGTATCCCCTGTTGCTCTATTCCTTGCACCTCTGCAGACTTTTATTTGCTAAGGCTGTGTTCACTAATTATCATCATTTTTTCTTTGCTTCTCTTTATTTACATAATCATTTATCCTTATAATTTCAGGTTATATATTTTGGGGATCACCTGTTCAGTGACCTGAGAGGGCCTTCAAAAGCTGGATGGCATACTGCTGCTATCATCCATGAACTGGAAGTATGTTTTTCTCTTTATTGTCCTTTTGAATTTGAAATCCAACAACATTACTATCTTCATGGTTCTTGATATGTCTCACGATAAACAGGAAGTACAGTAATAAATGCTTTTCCATATTCTTGCACGGAACTTCAGGACATAAAACTCCAGAAAAGGGACTTTTAGATGATGATTAAAAAAAAATGAAAAAATAGCATAAATATTACTTCTACTCTTTTGGAAGACAAAACTATGAATAGGTTTTTTGTTTCCGAAAACGTTACCAACATTTATTTCATTAATTTAAATTTTCTCTCCTAATACCTACCCAACAGGCCACCCCTGTCCCCACCCCACTGCCTCCACCGATAATCACTTCCAGAAAATGCCTCCGAAAACCTCCACCGGTGACTGTCAATAAAGTCACTGGAAAAAGTTCGCCAGATTTTTTAAATTTCGCTAGTGAAGCTGCTGAAATATGTTTTGGGGCAGTGTAAAGGAGTGTTTCAATTGCTTCTACTTTAAAAAAAATGATTTTTTAGAAATTGTATGAAAAGTGATTAATAGTAAAAGTTGATAGTGTTTGACGAGAAAAGTGGTTTTGAAAAATAAAAGTTAGTTTTTGCCGAAAAAGTGCTTTTAGGTGTAGTAAAAAAGTGAAAAATATTTAAAACCATCAATCTCTCCGCTTTTACACTATGGGTCATCCGGAAACAGTCTCTCTGTGCTTGTATAGGGGTAAATAAAGAAAGAAAGATTGTTTCTGGATGTTCCACTATGGGTCATCCGGAAACAGTCTCTCTGTGCTTTAGTACAGGGGTAAGACTACGTACATCCGACCTCCCCTTACCCCACCGTAGGTGGGAGCCTTTGCGGCACTGGGGTAAATGAAAATGATGAAAATGAATCTCTCTGCTTTTAGCTTTTCACTTAAAAGTGCTTTAAAAATAAGTAGAAGTTGGTGTTTAAAAACACTCATTATATAGTACGATGTAATATTTAAAGTAATATTTAAGGTAAACCTAGTCTTACTAGCACTTTTACACTCTTTCTTTCTTTAGCATTTAACTCTAAGTAACCCACTCCTTATATCTTCACTTTTTTTCCAGAATGAGATCAGTATTCAGAATGACGATAGTTACAGGTTCGAACAGGTAACCTACTTGAGTACATAGAGTAACATTTGGGTTTATGAAAGATGTGGGTTTTTTAGTTCAAATGTTGTTACCATGTGTTCCATTATTAATCCCCTGTTAACAAGCCAACGTAAACTTTTCATGTGATATTAGTGGCCTCATTGTCATGGAGATCATATGCTCCTTTCTATTTGTAAGGCTTAGCTAATTCAAAATTTATATTTAGAAATTATCAAGGAAATTGTATTTTTCTTCATGTACAGGCAAAGTTTCATATAATCCAAGAGCTTCTCGGTAAGCTGCATGCTACTGTTGTCAATTGTCAGAGAAGTGAAGCATATAAATCCCTTCTTTGGGAGCTCAATGATGAGAGGCAGAAGGCACGTTCTGCAATGAAAGAAATGTTTAATAGGTCATTTGGAGCTACATTTCTAACTGATTCCGGTCAAGAGTCGGCCTTTGCTTATCATATCCACCAATACGCCGATGTGTACACCAGCAAACCAGATAACTTTCTGTACTATCTACCTGAGGCCTGGCTTCATGTGCCTTATGATATAAAAATAATGCCTCACCATGTCAAGGTATTGTATAGCATTGCTGTTTAAATTGCCAAGGTTTTGAACCTATAAATATATTGAATCTTTCATATTCGATCTTAGAAAGGCTGGGTTTTTAGTTCACACTTATATACTAAAGTGAAATTGGGGGTACCTCCCAAAAAAGATCCTCAAGATGTGAGGTTCGCCTCACTCATATATACTTAAGTCTAGACTACCGCAACAGACAACAGATGTGGGATGCTCTACAAATGTTGTTTATTTTGTGACACTACAAGCTGAGTAAGGTCGAGGCTAGATCCATGGTGTTTGTTATGCCACGCCTTTCCCCAAGCAGGGAAGTTTCAATATTTCCAAGAAAATATTGAAATTGTTCACACTGGAAGCCCCCAATTTCTGTTTGAAATCATCAACAGTCTGAGGTGCTGTCCGCCTGACCAGTTGCCCTTGCTTTTATATCCTGGACTCAAATATCTAATCCAAATGTAGTTGTTTTGTTAACAAATTAACGTGAATAGATTAAGAATTTGCTCCAATTTCTTGGCATGCATTGCATATAATTAATATAGTTGACTGAACAGTTAACTTATAGTGAATTCTGTATCCAACTTCTAAGGTTTTCATTGCAGGTTTCATCAGACTTATTCAAGAACTGAGTGTTCTTCACGGTTAAGGTGGTGGAACGATGGGGAGTCGGTTAGGTCAGGACATTACTTATTTATGTAATAATTTATGGTGCCATTTTGTAGGTGGCGGTTTATTACCCGGTTCTACTACTGGCTCAAATGTATTTTAATGCTTAGCTTTTGAATATTTTCTTAGTCACCTGTCTTCTGTGTGAACTCCTTTTATGTGCTACCATCAGCTAATCATTTTCAACTCCGTGTAATTGGTGTAAAATTTATGCAAGTTTCTTATCTGAGGCTATTTGGTAGTTCTTGATGGGATATCCGTCAGGTAGTTCTTCATTTTAGGCAAAAAATAAAGTTTATGGTCAAATATTTTTATTCATCAGAGTTAACTATTAGCTTTAAGTTTTAACCGGTAGATCTTAATTTTATTTGAAGGTAGACTCTTTAAGTTCAGTTTGTTCCGGGCCACCAGTTATCTCCCTCAGAATGGAATGTAGATCAGAGCGAATTCAAGTGTGTTAGGAACCTGGTATAATCTGAGCGTAAACAGTAAACCAGCAAACACAGATCTGATAGAATGATAAGGAAAGAGTGTTTATTGATGGAAGGAGATAAACCGTAGGCTACAGGGACTTCTTAGGCAACCGGGACTTAGGCAACAAGGCAACCTTCAATATCCAAATAACAGTCTACCTATTATGGCTACCCCAGTTTCTATTTATAGCAAAAGTCCACGCAGGGACTAAATAGACAACTAAATAAGCTAGAGGCACTTAATAAGCTATTTAACTCCCCTAACCCCCTTATTTAAAACTACTGATTAGGCTGATGCCTAACATTACTCCCCCCCTAAACAACCACCTTGCCCTCAAGGTGGGTGATAGGAATCGATCTTCCACTTGCACTTCATTCTTGCACCTCTTCCTTCCCAATACCTCACAGATTTCTGAACCCATAGTTTCCTGATTCCAACCTTCATGGTCACTCCTTTCATAGCCCGAAAGAGCATAGCAAGAAAGAATAGAAGGAATGACTTTGTTGTATACTGCTCCTCAATGTTACAAAGGTTAAAATCTCCCAGCAACTGCATCCCTGGCCCCTCTCCCAAGCATTTGATGTTGTGTTTCCTGAAATTTTTCTCTACATTTCCATGATTGGCTGACGGTCCCATTCCCAGAATCACCTTAATTACTCCAAGATCTAACAGATAGGGGTCCTCAGTCATCACTAAATGGTGTACCCAAATATGTAGTACCTCACAACTGCTTTGGAGTGATATTTGCTCTCTTTTCCCCGTCTCGACTTGAAACCTTCTGATCACTGCCTCCTTCAGATCATCTGCACCTCCTTGATTGATACTGACAGTGTCATAAGTCACATAAAAAACATTAAGATTTGTCAATTGCACCGCATTTTGCGCATCCAGGCTATAGCCATTCTCTTTGAACATATGCATCCATTCGCTCAGGCCCTTTGCAGCTCCACAACACTCAACGTTACTGCCATCCGATTTCAGAGTATCTAACAACCGAAGCACCGAGTCTGAGAGATTTTCTTCTATCATCTCCCCTTTAACAGGGGCCATAGCTCTTGCAGCCACAGCATACACCTCCAGAGTAGGATATTGAGGAACTTCAGGTGCAAAACTACCTTCAAACAGTCCTCTACTTGTTTCAGGATCTCCATATGTTTCTGTACTAGCTGCAAGCTTCTCTCTGTACCTTTCAACTTCTTCCTCTTTCAATTCTTTGCCTACATCATCTGAAGAGAAAGGCATAAAAGGTTTTAGCGCGCAAACAAGGAGTTCCACCATACCCTCAGTAGTTCTCTTAAGTATGAAACAGGAATTCCTATCTTCATTGTAAGACTTCCACAGTTGGTTTTCTTGCAGAATTTCAAGAGACCATTCAACCCCTTCATCTCTCAACGCTGCAGCTGTTCTCATATATAAAGAACGTGAAGGCCTAACTTCCATATAACGCTTGCAAAATGGGTCTGCTTGCGTGTAATCATTTCCTTCGCTTAAAAGAGACCCGGGAATTGTTAATCCTTGTTTCCATTCCACCCTTTTCCTGACTTCATGATAATGTTCCATATATTTTCCAGCCTTTTCTCCCAAAGCAGTAGTTAAGGCCTGACTAAAATCCAAGGGAAAATGTTGAGATGGGCTGATTAGTGCGTACTTGGCAGAAAGTACCAATTTGCAAACACCCACATCAAGAACCAGAAGTTGGTAATTTTCAAAACCAGGTTCCAAGCTTCTCTTCCCCAGTTTTTCTACAATTTCTGACATATGTCGAGGCTGGAAATTTTCTTTCGTGCCACTTGCAATTTGAAAAATGTCATAAAAACTGTCAACAGTATTAACTTTACCCCTTACTAACATCCCCAGCTTGGCCTCAGATTGAGTGAGCACTGATTCTTCAATTGCAATATTCTGTGGATGCACCCCTGACTTCGCCAAGGCCCCCAGGACTATTACCACGCTGTCAACCACCATAGGCTTATTCTGATTTTCAGCATAAGCAACACCCTCCTCCATCCCTCTTTTATTAGTAAGTGTGTAAACCATGTTATCAAAACCTACACCTCCATTTAGCAAAAGAATATAAACTGGTGTCATTCCCCTAGCATTTTCAGCAACCATTTTGGCATCAAGGGTAGTCCCCGAGCTAACATAAACAGCAGCAGATTCCTTTTCTTCATCAGTTTGCCATTGTGATAGTGGCCTCCTGTCAACCAACACCTTGGAATCTTCAAAGTAGCGATCTAACTGTTGATTTGGAATTCCCAGAACCTTCCCAACTATATCCCCAGAACCAATACATGCCTCGTGATCAGCATACTTCTTCAGAATGTTTCCCTTATCTGCTTTCTCAGTTTCCTTTATACAGGTAGTCCAGGCACCCAAATCCAGAGAAGTGGTTCTCACAATGTTCCCTAACGGTTCCTCTTTCTGAGATATGGCAATATCGTTTACGGACTGGTGCATTTTGGTAACCATCTGTATCGTGTCTGATTTTAATTCATTTTCTAGGACATTGGTGAATGCCACATCTGTCATTCTGCCCTTAACTTCTTGTATAGAAGCAGTGGAAGATGTAGCTTGAGATCCATCTATTTGTTTAGTGACATTAAGGATTTCCTTCTGAACAGAGTCTGTAAAATTAGTTGTACCTGAGCCTTCCGCAGTATTTGCACCAGCAATTTTATCATCAAAGGTTGGATTCACCACAGACGATTTCTTCTCTGGTCCATCATCATCAATGAATGTAACCTCAGATGGAAGTTGCCGCTGAATGGCTCCCTCATGTCGGACTGATGGAACCTGCGCACCGTGAGATGCGAATTGCAAAGGGGCAGGCGAACTGGGATATCCTGTTAGCGAAGATGATCGCGTACTGGGAGAAGGGGTTTGCAGCTGAGATGAAACCTGCAAACTCAGCAAAACTGATAGCGGTGAACCTGAACTGCGAAGATCTTCTCGCGATGACGACTGGTGACGAACGCCGAGAGATGGCGAACTAGGGAACTCTGTTCGCGGTGAAGCTTGCGAACTGGGAGCAGTTGTCGTCAGCGAAGGAGTTCGCGACTGAGAAAACCGAGAAGAAACCTGTGACGGGGAACTGGGAGATGATGCGGTTCGCGATGATGAAATCGAAGTAGTGGCCCGCGTCGGACTATGCGATGATCGAGAATGATGATGAAGTTGTGATCGTGATTTCCCCCTGGACGGATTATGTTCCATCATCGCTGCTATCGCAGTCGCGATGCTGATATGGATCTGCTCCTTCATCGCTGTCGCGAGGGTGGCCATAGCCGTCTTCATCTCCAGTTTGAGCTTATCCAAGCGAGCCTCCATTTCTGGTGTCCAGGCTTCTTCCATAGCTCCAGGGTAGTCGATCGATGATAAGTGACACTTCAATCGGATCCCCAGGAGCAGTGATGCTCTGATACCAATGTTAGGAACCTGGTATAATCTGAGCGTAAACAGTAAACCAGCAAACACAGATCTGATAGAATGATAAGGAAAGAGTGTTTATTGGTGGAAGGAGATAAACCGTAGGCTACAGGGACTTCTTAGGCAACCGGGACTTAGGCAACAAGGCAACCTTCAATATCCAAATAACAGTCTACCTATTATGGCTACCCCAGTTTCTATTTATAGCAAAAGTCCACGCAGGGACTAAATAGACAACTAAATAAGCTAGAGGCACTTAATAAGCTATTTAACTCCCCTAACCCCCTTATTTAAAACTACTGATTAGGCTGATGCCTAACAAAGTGTCTAGCGAGACCTCAATTTCTGAAAAAAAAAAAATGGTCTGGAAATTTAGTATCCAGTAAAACAATATCTTGCTTCAAAAGCAGTATCTCAAAAATTCAAAATTCAATTAGGCAAATCATTGTGCATTGCAATTTGCAAAATTCAAAACCCAATCAGGGAAAACTTTCACAATATGTATATTGATATGGACTGGCAACATGTACAGCTTTTCACCACTTGCACCCACTGGAAGTCTGGAAGCATATGGATGATCAGAGGCAAACAGAACTTGGTTTTCTTCAGATACCTCCACTTTACCCATCAACCTATTTGTAGTTTTTCAAGGAAAAGCAGTGTCTGGAAATATAGTATCCAGAAAAACAATTTCTTCCGAAGAAGCATCTAGGGATGGACCCGGGCTGGTTCTGGTTTGGGCCTGGGCCCGGTCGGGCTTTTGTTTGGGAAGTAGGGAACCGGAACCGGCCCGGCTAACCGGCGGCTCCGGGCCGGTTTCCGGTTCAATTTTTTTTTAAATTTTCTTTTGTTTTTCTAAATTACCCCCGACCCCCCTTCACCCCCAACCCCCACCCCAAACACCCAGCCCTACCTTGTAGAAACCAAAAAAAATGAAAAAACGAAAAAAAAAAATTGGCCCAAACCGGCCGGGCCGGTTCAACATTTTCAAGGCCTGAGCCCGAACCGGGAGTTGGGCGGTTCCGGTTGGCCCGAACCGGCCCCAAGATTGGGTACCGGGCCGGGCCGGGCCCAAATAGTACCGGGCCGGGCTGCCCGACCCGAGTCCACCCCTAGTAGCATCTACAAAATCCAATACGGAATCAGGCGAATCATTGTGAACTTTCCAAATAAACCAATTCAGAAAGAAATACTTCTCACATCACCTGCACCACGCCACCACATCCATGTTCCATTTCATGAATGAAAAATAGAGTCCAAGGAAAAGAGTCACCGGGCAACCAATTCACAGAACTCAATTCTAATTAATTGAAACATCATCCAATCAAATTAAAATTTTCAGAATCTGAAATGTCTTTCTACGCAGTGTTGTTCGCCGTCCAAAAAGATTTTGAGGATATCGTTGGTCTTCTTCGTTGAGTGAGGTTTAGCCGTTTAGGGTTTGGGTCGGCACAGCTTTTATTGTACTTAATTAATCTGATACATCTGTTTATATGACTGTTTTCATCCCATAGAAAAACGATGCATTGCCCAACAATGCAAAATGAAAATATGAAATACTCCCTCCGTCCTATAAACCAATTTGATTTAGATCGGAGCTTAAGAAAGTGAGAATAAAATGTATGATTGTGGTTGAGTAAGAAAGATGTAAATGACTGTTAGCCACACAAAATTTTCTAAAAGAAGATTTTTTTGGGATATCTCAGAAAAGTAAAAAAGTATGTGAGAAGAATTTTGTGTAATTATTTTTTTAAAGAAAAACGCAGTTCAAAGTTCAAACACCTATGAACTTTGATAGTTTCTTGCTCCTGTTTGCAGAGTATGTAATGATTAAGGACTTGTTAGCCAAGTACTTCTCCATGTCAGTTCTATGAATTAATTTTGACAAGGTAATTTGTTCAAAAGGTTGAATCCCCAATCCCAAGGACCCCATGCCCCAGCCCGACAGAACACATGAGAGGTTGTAAATCACGGTGACGCAACCAATCCTAACGTTGGTAGACCTTATATCCGTGCGCACCAGCCACCAGAGGTCCAGTCCAGACGTCCAACACATAGGAGTTGTGACCTCCATACGGTGCATGCGAGTTTCGATCATTGATCATTTGTTCAACTTTCTCATCGCGTTACTAGTTGAGCTACCCGTGCGGGTAGTTTTGACAAGTTAAGTGTTCATTTTTGTGCAAATGTGTTGTTAAAGGACTTGAGATTTACTTGTACCTTTTTGTGCATACATGATTAATCTCGCGAAGCTAGGATCACACTAATAGAGTTAAAATAAAACCTAAAATGCACTTATACGATCACGATCACATAATGCAACATTAATATGAGTTATGTTTGTAGGAAAAATGTATGTGTAAACATCATTTATACATGTTTTGTATACATGGTATGCTCTATAGCTGTGTGTATACATGCAATCAAGGGCGAAACCACCATAGAGCCTGGAGGTGCCCGTGCCACTGCAATGAATTTTGTTTTTTAAAATATATACACATATATTTTTTATTAATTAGAGCCCTTGCAGCCCAATCTCAATTCTCCCTTTTCCCTTGTGTGTCCGGCCTAGTCCAATTTCCCTCTTTCCCAGCAGCCCAATCCATTAAGGCTCAACAGCTCAGCTCAACTCAAGCCCAGCTTTCCTTTTCCCTTAACCCTTGTACCGCTTCGACAGTTTGGCGGAATCGGAGGTTCAAACTCACATTAGTCTGCAGCAACAGCAAGCCAGCAACTCTCAGCAACTCAGCGAAGGCCGACGGCGCATGCGAGCACCTCAGCAACGGACGACGGTGAATGAGAGCATCTCAACGACGGTCGACGGCCACTGACCAGTGACCACGGCCTTGCAATCTTGCGGGTATATTTGATATTTTTATTGTTGAAGAATGATTAAATATTTGAATGATGATTGATGAATGGTTTATGCTTCGTTTGTAACTTGTAACTTAAGATTGACCAAATAGAGTACTAGACAGTAATTTTGATTTGTTGATGCATTATTTGGCAATTATATTATGATAATTGTAGTTGGTTTAGGTTGTTTGACAAACAATCACTGCGTTACGATATTTTCCGCCGAAACGTAAATGGCTGAATATTGGTGGGTCTTCATCGAATAATTTAGTTTCTTCTTCGGATAATGTCATTCCTAACAATGAGACCAATGTTAAAAAAACTCGAATAGAAGTTGAATTGTTGGATGGTGACATTGTTGGAGATTTGACAAAAACATTGGTTGAAACAGAGTGACACACATGCTATAAGCTAGTGTACTGCTCATCCAATTGGCATTGGTTTTACCTGTTACAACAACCACAGTGGAAAGATCTTTCTCCACGATGAAGTTTATCAAGAATGATTTGCGCAACAAGATTGGAGAAGAATACTTGACCGGTTGCTTGGTGTGTTATATTGAGAAAGATGTATTTGTTAAAATTGAGAATGAAGTCATTATGAAGCGGTTTCAGAGTATGGCACTTCGAAGACAAAGATTGACGCCTGTCAATTATTCTCCTTCATTTGATGCATCAGGTTCTAATCAAAATTAAGGTACACTTTAATTGGTTATTTTATTTAAATTTTATAGTTTTGTTTATTACTATATTCGTAATGCATATGATTTCTTTGTTATTGTGCCCATGCGAGTCACGAGTCCTGATTCCACCACCGATGCAATTCATAATAAGATGCAACTTTTTATTAAGAATGTACGAAATTATTTGTGTGACACAGTGCACGAAGTACCAAGAACGACTCAAGTTTGTAATAATGCTTCTCTTAGCATTAGAAAATGACATTTTTGTGGGTCGCATGTGTAGCGCACGTCTGGTATGGATGAATGATGGGTTTGTTGAAATTGTAATTTTAATTTATTGAATAAATTAAATGAAATACTACCGTCCCTTTTATATTGGGATGGAAAAGGATGACTCGATTACTAAAAAAAGTGGGTGAGTTTGTGTGGTTGATATTAATTGATAAATTAAAGTATGAATAAAGTAAGAATAATTTAGTGTCACACAAACTTTACAAAATATGATATGAGACAATTTTAGTGGGATTTCGCGAAAAGGTAAAACAAAACAATATAAGACGTCACGTAACTAGCACTATGTATTGCTCATTTTGTTGCATCTTTATTGATTTTTATTGACAAGTATGGCTGATTATCATTTCTTTCCATCGAATACTTGTTTAATTTTTCATTCCCATTTTGAACGGTATTTCATTCAAGCCTTAAGGCGAGCATCTAGCTTGACAAGTGTATTTAAACATTAAAGTTTTGTGAGGGAGATCATTTCTCATTAAAATAGTACTGCTACTACTTCGTAATACGGAGTACCGAGTACGTATTATCGTTGGACACTTTGTGCATGATATTTCTCGAATTTTTTCCATGTCATGTTCTAGTCTTTTACGCAATATTTTTATGCTTTTGTCCGAGTTTTTTCCCGGAATAATGCTAATTTAATAAATAATTCCCAAAATACTGCCGGGTTAGGAATAATCCCGAAATACTGCTGGGGTTAACCACGGTTAAGCAAAGCTGCCACTCCAAGTGGCGGTTCTTGAACAGCTTCACAAAAGCCGCCACTTGGAGTGGCGGCTCTTATACTGCTGTATAAAAGCCGCCACTCCAAGTGGCGGCTCTTATACTGCTGTATAAAAGCCGCCACTCCAAGTGGTGGCTCTTGTGTTAAGCAAGCTGTTGCACGAATCACACGATCATTTATACAACTAAACATGTAGTTATCAGAAAATCTGCTCATCACAGTCCATTCTACTAAAAAACAACAACCTAACATATGATTTACTAAGACAAAATACATCTGAAACACAAAATGAATCAATGAAACTACATGACAAAATACATCTGAAACATAAAACGAATCAATGAAACTACATATTATGAAACTTTCACAAAACGAATCAATGCACCACAAAACATGAAATAAACCATAAAAGTTATAATAAATTCGGTGTTTCACAAAATGATTCGATCTGTCACTGCATGCTACAACTTTCACACAATAATTTAAATACAAAGATCATAAGTCAAGGTGATGATCATCATCATGAAGTTCATGTGGCTGTGCTCGGGGACGCCTGCGCTGGTTACGAGGCTGAAGAACAACTCTATCACGTCAGACTGCCTGAGAAGACCCTGCTGCGGATGTAGATGCGGTGGAATGCTGAGAGGTGGCCATATATCCATAATCCACTCGACCCAATACATCAGCGTACAGTGAAACAATGCCTGAACAAGCGTCATGGTATCCCTGTACATCTACCGCCTCATCAAGTACATCAGTCGCTCTGTCATGGATGCTACGCAAAGCCCGTGTTTGTAATGCAAACATGATTATTAGTGAAAAACACATGAATAAATAAATAAAGCTATTTTATTGACTATATTGTTTATCGTCATATGAAGAGCGACTGGGCTAGGCTGGTAATGATCAGTGGGTAACACTGGCGGACCTAGTATGTATATTTTGGGTGTTCAAAATTACACTTTTCTTCTCAAAATACTAATAAATAAATTATCACCCTAACTCGCACATATATATTCCCATTGTTTTAATATGTTTGGGTGTTCACATGAACACCCTTTCATTGAAGAGATTTGCCTTTGGTGGGTAAACGAAAACTGGGAGAGATAAACACTCGTGTGATGGTGTAATACCATCTCATGTAGTCTACAGAAGCTGTGGGGACTAATGATAGGATCCCGTCCACTATATATGCTGCTCTCTCATCCCACATAGTGATATACTGAATATGGTGCATCCCCCAATCTTCAGTGTGCTTCCCCCGTCTATCAATCTTGTGCAAATCCACAGATGTATCACAAGGTCTGGGAGTAACCTGCTGCAACCCGAACTGGCGTAGTACGCGATCAGGAAAGTGATGCTCCACTACATCAAAACATATCAAGGGCACATGTGCTCGCCATATCTTAGTGTGCTCTCGGACAATAGGAGGCAACAGTTCTAGAATCTCATCAGTGTACGGCATCCACGTCATCTATAATATAAAATTATGTTAGACCATGGTTTATAAAAACATAAGACAAAGTACTTACATTTAATGATATAAATGATATACCTCATCATCACACAAGTGATCTAAAGCATCTCGGTAGTATCCTAATCCAACAGCGGATGACGTGCGCGTGACATGAGCAAATAGCCATCTGACACACAGTAATGTATAAAAATATAAAAGGGATTCACGTATGTCATACCAAAAAAAAATCATAAACGTACCTACGACCCAAAGGATCCTCGCCATGGACATGATGTGGCCCAAGTACATCGTGGCATCATCAAGAGGACCACCATCTACCCCATGATATCGCAGTATAACAGGTCTGCCGATATGAATGTGCTCCCATGACCATAGCTTTATGAGGAATAAAAACCCACCCATCTCTCCACCGTCATGATTAGCATCATCACTACCCATTGCCACAACCAGCGTACCTTTATACTTCCCATATAAGAGTGTTCCATCAATGGTCAGTAAGGGACGACAATGTTTAAAGCCCTTAATGGATGGCTTAAATGCCAAAAAAACTCTTTGAAACTGCTAAACATCAGTGGTACCTGAAGATGGAGAAAATTAGGAGGACGAAGTTAAAATGAAATTTAATATGATATAATAATGATATTAATAACTCATTGGTACATGAAAGAGGTGGGTACCAATGCATGACTGTCCCTGGATTGGAATGTTGTAATGCCAACATGAAATGAGGCAATTCAGAATACGAGGCCTCCCAATCTCCAAATATTTCACCGATAGCTTTTTGTTTAGCCAACCAACTTCGCTTGTATGAAGTTATATAGACGTACCTTTCCTTCATAAGCTGACTAATAGTGCAGACTTTTAGTGATGGATCGGTACGAAGAAGATCAATAATTTCACGGGCTATGAACTGAGTTGTGATACCAACATGGTCATTGTTATCGACGTTACCTACACAAGTAGGTATATGAGGACCTGCATAACGAACAACTTTGAACATCTCTAGCTTCTCATGTTTCTTAGTAGCCCGGATCCGCCAAGTCCAGCCACATTCTTTTCTCCTCTTACACTGCCACCCATTTGTGTTTGTCAGACTCTACAACTGAGAAAAATTGGTTCCTCTTTACAGAATACGCTCTAACCATGGTGATCAATTGTTTCTTATCATCAAACTCTTGCCCAACCTCGAATTCACCATCTGCAGAGAAGCGACTAAAAGTTGTACAACCCTTCCACAATTCATCAAATCCCACAGGGAGCTCATAAACTTTAGTGTAGTGGCTGGATGGAGCATTGCCACTTAAGAGATCACCACCATCTTCATCTGAATCTGTTAGTGTGTCATGGTTCACATTTTCATCTGCATCGTCGTCATTGCACTGTGAAACCAGAAACGTTGCATCACTATTTACGTATCTTCCATTCTCCTGTGTAACCATATTCATCACAACTGGAACACTTGTGGATGGACAAGAGAATGACAGGTGGCCAGGTTGTATGGGCAACACCACCACTTCTTCAACATATATCTTCATGGTATGCATATCAAGATTCTCGATTACAGTCCACATTCCTGTAACGGCTTCGTCGTCAGCAAGAGGCATCAACATGTATGATCCACCATGCATGGGATATTTAACCTTCAAATCCAACTTGTTCATACGATTGATGGATGTTGCAACATAAATTTTATTCATTATTTCAGCAAGATCCACCCCACGGGAAACAACAACTATCTTCCGAATCCGTCCTTCATAATGAATTCCGTTTGACTCCTCGATAATATTTTCTCCCCATTGATAAACAATGGAGAAGTTTCTAGACATATTCTACAAAAAAAATCGTTCCAAAAAAGTATGACATATGCCGCTATTTGAAAATTCAACTACAATTACTATAATTCAAACGAAAAGTATTAGATCATTGATACATATTAAGATTTCATACCATTAAATTAGGACTCATAATAATTAACCAGTGACAAAAAAATAGAGTAATGAAAAAGCAACAAATTAACACATGATTTTTTTCAAAAAAAAAAAACAAAAATTAACACATGATTAATTAACACTAGTTAATTAGTAAAAGAAAAGCAAAATCCATTAGTAAACAAGTAAACAACAACAACTTCGAGCAAATCAACAGCAATTTTGAACAACACAATAACAATTTCAAGCAATTTCGAGCAATAACTAAAAAACCCTAGCTTTAGCAAAAATGGTGAAAGTTGGTATAATTCAAATTTTACAAATTATATACATTCAATCATAATAACAAGATTAAGAACTTATATATTTCACAACATCAAATACAAAGAAAATAATTAAAAAAACAAGTAATTTCGAACAACAAATTAAAAAACTCAGGTTTAGCAAAAATGGTGGAATACCTCTATTCAAACGGTAGAAAGTCGTTAGAAGGGAGTACAAACGACCTCGGGTACACCACGGGTCTTTTCCCTTTGATTTGAGCTTCGTTTGGACGAGATCTGGCCGGAATCGGGGCACTTCGTTCAGCTGTCGTCGTCCGTCGTTTGCTGCAGAGTGAGGAGTGCTTCGTTCGTCGTCTGGGAAGAAAGAGACATGTCTACGGATTAATGAGCCGCCACTTCGAGTGGCGGCTTTTGTATTACTATAGAAGAGCCGCCATTCCGAGTGGCGGCTTTTGTGAGGATAGATGAAGAGTCGCCACTTCAAGTGACGGCTTTGCTTAACCGTGGTTAACCCCAGCAATATTTCGGGAATTATTCTTAACACGGCAGTATTTTGAGAATTATTTATTTAATTAGCATTATTTCGGGAAAAAACTCTTTGTCCCATGTTATATTTTTCTATTTTACCCTTCGCCCCCTATTTTTATTTTTATATATCAACATGTGGCACTCGTAAAATTTATTGTACTATCTAACTTTCTTTTTACGGTTAAAATCTAATTATATGGCTTAATCTGTTCAAATTAATAAAAATCTTTTTCAAGTAGATAAATTGGTTAAATTTATTGAGTGATGAAGAAATTGTATCTAAAATATATTCTATTAATAACGCTAGTAAAGAAAAAGTTATATGAAAATGTTAAATGATCATCTACAGTAACTTCAGTCACAAAAGTAACTCTAATTTCACTTATTTTGATGATTGCACAATTTAACGTGTGAAATAATTCAAGTAAAATGTTTAGTAGTAGAACTAACAACTTTATTGAGTTTACTCTTTAAATGTCTATTAATGGAGCATATCACTTAACATGTTTTTGCTTGAACTATTTTCAGTCCCATACTAGACCCGACTTAAATAGACCAGGCTAGACAAAACTTAAATAGATCAGATCAGACTTAAACAGACTAGACCAGACCGGACTTGACTTCCGTAGTTTTAAAATACACAGAGTTCAGACAAAACCAGTTTAGACCAGACCAGACTTAAACAAATCAGATCAGACTTAAACAAACCAGATCCGACCAGACTAGACCAGCAAATTACAGTCCAAATAAAAACATTCTTACATACATAATCACAACATTAAGAGCATGTTTGGTAACACTAAAATTGGCTGAATTGACTAATTATGCTGAAATTTATGAAGTTCTGCCTGAAAGGGATGTATTGGCCGATTCTGTTGATTTATGAATAAATTATATTTAAAATACTTGTTATTAATAAATCAAATAAAAAATTATATGAAAAATAGTTAAAATGATCATCTACAGTAATTTCAGTCAATACAGGTAGAAAAGTAACTTCAGCCTAACTTTATCAGTGCGGGAAAACAAAAATTACGTGTTTGATGAAAAAACTGGTTGATCAGCCCGATAAGCCGAGAAAAGGTGTTACCGAACGGGCTCTATAGTACGGTAGCATTCACAATTTATTTGTTACAAGTGGCTTCAAGAAATTCAACACTTCTCGAATACTACCCCCGTCCCAATTTACTTAGCCAAACTTGACTTTTCAAGTCAACGACGTCTAACTTTGACCAATTATTTTAACTAATATATTTATGCAAAATTTAATAATTTTATACTTTTATGATAGTATTTTTAACAAAGAATATTTTCATATCATTTTCATATTATCAATACTTTATCTATATACACATATAATCGGTCAAAGTTAGAGGCTGTTGACTTGAAAAGTCAAGTTTGGGTAAGTAAATTGGGACGGAGAGAGTACTTAATTACAGCTTGATTTCAAACTCAAAGAACCGAATCTAAGGAGCTTCCAACTTAAATGCCAGCTATTTTTATAGTTCAAAATCTAAGCTGATAGTAATGTTAGTTTCACTGATTTCTTTTTTATAATTGAAGAGCCGTAGGACTATAGGAGCGAATTGCATGTGCTAAAAGTTTAAGGTCTTCAATATAGTCTACTAATTTTGAATTTAATTATCAGAGGATCAAACCCTTTTCAAAAAATTCAAGCAGAGAAAAGTAACACATAAAAGCTGGACTCCTGTATTGAGTGTATTCAAGTTGCGGTGCGCCTATCGGGTTAAATAGCAACATTTATTAAATAGCAATGGTCCTTAATAGAAGTAGAATAGAGTCAATAGACGAGACAATTTTTCGCTAAATAGGAGTTAAACTCACAATTTTTCATAATTAAGAGTAAACATTAATTTAGTGCTCCTAATACACATATCCTGATTATTTGTCCCCCAGTTCCTTTGGGTAACCAGGGCAATTGGTGACAGGATCGTCTGGTGGCGGGGGTTATGGAATTTTTGTGCACCGCCAGAGCTCTGGTAACCGGCAACGGTCGTTGGAGCTCCGGTGGCGGCAGGTGGCAATGGGCAGTGGGCTGGGTAGCTAATACTTGCAGGGTATTTTTTTCCAATCATAAAAACTCCGATTTTGAGAATTTTTAAACTACTACGGAGTATGTCATTTTTATCTTTGCCTTTTGATCATGTTTTACTCATAGATTGAGAATTAACTCTTTATTAAACTAAACTCGAGGTACATGCTTGAGCTCAAATATATTATATACTCCGCTTGAGAGATTCGTAATACGTAGTACTACTTCCGTCTCATTTTATGTGTCTCACTTTGACTTGGCACAATTATAAATTATTAATAAAGTAGTTTAAAAAGTAAAAATTATGATTGAGATTTGAATATAATAAAGTGAAATGTTGTAGACCACATATTTCTTTCTAAAAGAAGAAATAAGACACTTATTTTTGGGATAATCTAAAAAGGAAAATATGAAGGTAAAATGGGACGGAGACAGTATGACTAGCAAACTTAAGCATGTCTTTATATGAGTTAAAGTTACATTGATAGTAGAAAAAATAGCATTAAATAACTCAAATAAGTTTCATACATGCAAAACACTATTAATTATTTAAATTTTTTTGCCTAAAATAGGAAAAAAGATTAAAAATTAGTTCTAAAGTTCTAAATAATAATTAACTGTTTTTATTTTCGGAATAGGAATCGTACTTACTCTTATTATAAGAATAAATAATAAAAAATTCTAAAAATATGAGTGATCGTGTCTTCTTTAGGGAAGAAAACAATACACTCATACGTAAAAATTACTCCTTATTTTATTTTACTCCTATTTAAATAGAGAATTTAATCTAAAGGGTCCAAAACAAGGAAATTTGTGCAAAAGGTGAAATCACCGCACTGAATTTTAAAGTAATGGGAAGGGTAAAATAGAAAAATATAACATGGGACAAAAGTATAAGAATATTGCGTAAAAAACTAGAACATGTGATAAGTTTGAGTGTTCAGTCGTACACATGCGGTGATTTCAGTTAAAAAACATATCACATTCAAGTTTCAATCCAATTAAAAATATTAAAATAACATAGAACAAATGGATATTAGAATAGTTAGAATTACATAAAAATTGATATATTTAATAAATGCATGGACTACATTTTTATAGTCACATATAATCCACCTACCACAAATGCTTGTTCCTAGTAACAACAAACGCTCCCCATTTGTTGGCCCATTTTTGGCACCGATAACATGTCCTTCAACATTTGTCCACAAGTTTTAGCAACCTTACTTATTATTGCACGGTCCAAAATTTATGGCGTCAATACAGAATTCTGAACAAATAGTTCGTGAGCTACTGACCGGTCACCCCTAGGCCTGTCAATGGGTCGGGTCCGGGTCGGAACGTAGTGTTCCAGACCCGGACCCGCTAAGTTAATGATGGACCCAGACCCGACCCGTTTACCCGGCGGGTCTGAAATTTTGGATCCAAACCCGGACCCAACGGGTCTCGGAACCGGGTCGGGTAGACCCGCCAAGTATGATACCCTTGTAAATTTTTTGAAAATAACAAGACTTGTATGTGAAATGTAAAGAAAAGTGTGCAAACTAAAAAGCAAAATATATCTTCACTTTTAAAAAAAAAATATCAAGGTTTCTCATATTAGTACTTTTATCCAATAAGGTATTGATTCTTGTGTATAACTCCACACTCTGTCACTTTTTTGTACATAGAGCTCGTAGAGTAGACTTCAAATTAAGTTACAAAAGGTGTTTTGGACTATTGAGAGTATAAACACATAGTGTACGGAGTGCATGATAATAATGATATAATAATATTAATAAGAATATATAATAACAAAAAAAAAGAATATATAATAACAACAACAATAATAATAATGAATATTGTGTGTTGCTTACCGAGCCAAATACATATTAATCACTATGAATAAACGGTCAAAATGGGTATTAATTTTATGCTATGACACTATCTCGATCATTATCACTCATATGATAGGTATGTATTAGTACGCATATTTTTAATTGAAGAATTATAAGTAATAATTTTATGTATTATTATGTATATATTTGTGTGTGTGTATATTAGTTTGTATTTTTTTTATTTGAAGTGTTATAACTAATCACTTTATGTATTAGTGTGTTAGTATACAAATAAGAATTTTTTAACGGGTCCGGGTCCTTAACGGGTCGGAATCATATGTACCGTACCCGACCCATTTATTAAATATACTAACGGGTCCGGATCCGGGTCCGGGTAAACGGAATAAAATATAGACCCATACCCGCTAAAAATAACCGGGTCCGGGTCGGGTTCGGGTCTAGACCCGACCCATTGACAGGCCTAGTCACCAGTTCAATTCTCACAATACTTTCTTGATCTAAAAATTATATTACCTCTCTCCCAAATTATTTTACAAAATCAATATTTTTTTGGTGAATTAATATTAAAGTTAAATCGTTATATTGATAATTACTTCAATTTTAATAAAAATAATTTAAATATTGATAAATTAAATTAAAATATCTATAAAGTTGTAAAATTCAAATCAAAATTTAATTAATAATTGATAACATAATCAAGTGAATAAAATGAATTTGTTTTATTCAAAAATATGGGAATCAAAAATTAATTTTGTAACTCGATCAATTTGGAACGGAAAAAGTATAAAAGTAATGGAGTTCCCCGTTATCCAAGTATAATTTGTATAACCTGTCCGTATAATTTGCAAGTACTTTAGTTTTTCATCATATTGTGTATTAGCAATGGTTCATTAAAATATGTAACCGGGTATGAAGTGTAGATAAGGGCATAAGGCCTTGGTTGTGGCATGGTGAGACATCTTTTTGCCATTAATCTTTTCCCATATTATTACTTATACATCTATATTCACACTTAAAAAAAAAAGGGCATAAGGCCTTGTTTAGGCAATGATTCATTAAAATATGTAACTGGTGTTAAATGTCTATCTTTATTCTTTACTAGTATTATTTTCTCAAATTTGGATAATCAAAACATTGCAATTTTTTTATATTCTAGAAACCACATATGTTCACTTGTAGTTTGAGAAAGAAATAATTACATACTCCGT